GCTCCTTGCCTGCCACCCTGCAGAGCCTGCCATACCTCAGGGAGCCACCCCCTCCCCAGGCCTGGCTGTGCCTGTGACCAACAGGGGATGTGCAGGAGGGTGCACCACATCTCCAAGCCCACCCCTTCACCTGCATAACTCGCATGCTACCAGCTGTGTCCCCTCCCCATGCCAGGGTGATCTAATCCACTCCAAGTACCTCATTCACAGCTCCACCTGCTGCCAGTTACCCTGGCCCCAGCCTGCACCAGGACATTGGGGGCTGAGGACAGCGGTCCCACTTTCTGCAGCATCGCTGGGCTGAAGCGGGCTCTAGGTTGGGATGGAGCTGACACTGCGGACGCAGCCGCCCCCCAGGCTGTGGCCCTGGATAGGATTGCTGGCCTGTGCCCTGTCCACCCACGGAGAGGCCAGCCCTTGAGACAGTTCTGAGGGGGACCCTTGGAGTGAGCTTGATTCAGCAAATACATCAACCTCACCACTGTCGAGGCCACGTGTGTCCTCGGCCTGGGGGGCTGCTCACCCTCCACTCCCAGCTCAGCTGCAGGAGCATTCAGTACTCTGGGGCTTGGTGGGGTCCTACCAGAGCTCGGGGGGCACAGGTTGGCCCTCAGCACCGCGCTGTAATGGGGAATAAATCCTCACCAATGCGTGACTGCCTTTAGCCTCAGCTTTGATTAAAAATGAGCACCAAGAAATGAGTTGATTAAAACTTCTATATACTTCAAAGCGCCTGAAAAAGATAAAACTGCCGGGAGGATAAGTTCTTAGAGAATCTGTTGCAACAAATGGTTTTGGTGCTTGTCGTGCAACTGCGATGGTGTGGAAAGCTGGACGGCGCCCGGAGACTCAGTGCACCCGTGGCCAGCCCTCAGCACTTCACTTCCTGAGCTACCACTGTGAGTCCCCTGAAGTCTCCGAGCCTCCAGTTTTGCCTTCCTAAACCAGCATGCAACCTGCAGAAACAAGCGGGCGCCAGATAAAACAGTGCCCCGTGGGGTTAGCGCAGCGAGTGGCAGCGGCCTCCTACTGTGCACCGCCACAAGTGCCCAGACAAGCCATCGCTTCTCCTCGCTTGGTTTCTGTGTGCGTCACACTAGGACACTGTTCGGACGGTGGCACCATGGGTGGCTCCTGCATTCCCACCATTCGCAGCCAGTGAGGACAGGAGCTGCTACACCAGGCCCGTCAAGACCCTGCCCAGTACCTCTGGAGGCTGCGCAGCCTCTGGGCTAGCAGGTGCTCCAGCGCCCGCACCTTCCCCAGCAGCAGGGTACGCACAGCTGCCTCCTCTCGGCTGGCCGGGCTGATGCGCTGGGCTGTCAGCCGCCACACGCGAATCTCATGCTTCAGTTCTGCAGAGACAAACAGCAAAGCTTCAGCCTCCCCAGCTTGGCTATGGGTGGTGTGGGCCTCTCTGCACCACATGCGACAGTGCGTGTAGCCAGGCTTGTCCCAGAGCAAGGGCTTCCTCAGGTGTGAGCATCACAGTGGAGCAGAGGACAAAGCTGATTTTTTTTTAAATTACATAGAAATAAGGTAATGCAGCTCCAGCTCTCTGGGGCAAGAATAAATCCCTTCCTTGAACGGACATTGAAGCTGGCTCCCACAAGCCACAGACCCATCCCTTTTTTGCAGGCCAGGCTTTCAGCCAAAATCCAGACCTCACGGGCCCTTGGGCAGCCCCCTTTATACCGTGACAAGGTCCGAGAGCCCCCGCCAGGCGTCAGGGCCACGCTCTGGGACCTCCTCCCCCACACAGTGGACTAAGTGAACTGCTGTCGTCTGCAGCTCATTCACGCTGTGGTCTCACTTCTGGTGACAGAAAGTGCTCCGAGCCGGTTGCCCACCCTTTGAGTGATTTCAGAAACAGGTCACATGAAAAGCAGAAATGCAAGCGTAGTTCTTAGCCAGGCCCTCCAGCAGGGCTGCGCTGAGACAGCTGGGGAAAGCACTCCCCACCCCGCCAAGCCCTCAGGAGCGCAGGTCTGTGACGCAGGACAGGCTGAAAGCTGTCGGAATCAGTAAAGAATTTTCACCTCTTGCTGCATTCAGACACCTTCTGCAGAGATGAGCAGAGAGACAATTTGTCAACTACTTACCTCCTGAGGCTTTAAAATATTCCATAGAAGCTCACACTTAGCTTCTATTTTACAATTCAAAGTACTACATACATGTCTCAAAATAATCATTAAAAGAATACAAGGAAGCACCATGTTTTCATAAGCCACCCTGCTGCATTAGTTTTCGGTGACTGCAACAAAATGCCTGAGATAAAAAATGCACGAAGATGGGGCTGGGGAGATGGCTCAGTGGAATAAGCACTTCCCTGGCAAATACAAGGGCTTGAGTTCAATCCCTGGTTCAAAAAAAAAAAAAAAAAAAAAAAACATGAAGAGGAAAGGTCCATTTGCGCTCACAGTTTCGGAGGTCTCAGTCCGTGGTAGCTGGCTCTCTGCCTCTGAGCATACAGGGAGGCAGCGCTAGGAAGCAAAGACAGAGCAAGCGAATGTTGTCTTTTGGCAAGCCCCCAAAGCCCCTTCAAGGGCACACCCCAGTGGCCACTTCTGCTCACCAGGCTCCATCTCTTACTGGCTGCCTCACCTACTGAGGGTGCCAGGAACTTCAGCAAGGCACGGTGATACCTCAGGGACAACGAGCAGAACAACCCACGGACTCAGCAAAAAATAGAAAGAAAGCGTCACCTCTTAAACCCCCTCTACGCGGCATGCAAGGGCCGATCACCCCACGTGGCAGACTGCCGCTCTGCGGAGCACAGACAAGGTCGTGGGAAGGACGCACGCTGTTCAGCATCTGCCAAGACCTGGAGGAGACCTGGCATGGGACAGACTGCAGCCAGCAGCGGACCGCTTCACGGCCTCAGCCTCCCACCTGGGTTTACACACTGTGGCTCATGAAAGCAAAGGGAACCTGGGTACAATCCACAGTCTTCTCCAGAGAAACAGACCCATGATTTCTTCTGAAAATCCTCATACTCCAATTAACCACCTATGAGGTTAGGAAGTATAGAAGAATGGGGAAAAGGAGGAAAGAAGAAGAAAAGCCAGCGACCTAGCTGCCTGACACGCTGACACCACAATGCCACGGTGCGCAGGGTGCGGGGCTGGGATGGCCTCTGCACAAGCTCAGAGAGGGCGGGCATCCACTCCTGTGCCAACCTCGCCACACCAGCGGCACCACTGAAGCTCCCCGTAAGCCTCAGTGGCTTCCCATTCTCTGGGGTGTAATGGTAAAGCACCACCAATCAACTTTAAAAGCAGACAGGTCCACGAAGCTCAGCGTGTCAGCCCGCCGGTGCCAACACAGAGGGCCCACTCCCGTCCTCATGGTTGGAGAAGCAGAGACAGGAAGCCAGTTATGCTGCCTGCTACGCAGCCTGCTACGCTGCCTTCCCAGTCCCTGGGCTTGCAGCTGCAGCGGGTCCTCGGGGACAGCCTGAAGCCTTCCTGCACACCCAGTGCCCACTCGCGCTCTGACCTATCAAGTCACAAGGAGGAGTGGCCCCTTCGGCTCAGCCTGTCCACTGATTCTCAGGTAGCACGCTTCTGTCTTCCTAGCTCTGGAAGGAAGATTTGGTTCTGAAGGAATTTAGCTGTCCGAGATGTCTGCACAGAAGGAGGGCAAGTGCGCACCATCCCTTGTGTCCAGCTTCCCAACAAAGGGCGCCCCCTGGCCTCCCCCTGGACCCTACCTCCTGCCCGTGTGTAGGAGCTCCCCAGAGAGCAGGGCTCTGCCGCCAAGGAAGCCTGAGCTGCAGGGGAGACGCTTATACGCACCCACAAGTTCGCTGGGCTCCTTGTTATAAAGCTTTTTGTTCCAGTAAAGGAGTCTGAGGAGTGGAAAGGAGACCAGGAGGACAAGGCAAATCCCAACGAACATGTGCGCTGTGAACTTGGCGAAATCCAGACCCTGGAAGAGAAAGGCGGAAGTGAACGAACGACAGGCACAGGTGGCAGCTTCCCAGTCGGGATACAGGAAGGCTGAGCAGCCAGGAGGGGTGAGGAGGGCGAAGAGTGCCCTGGGGACCCCAGCCCAAGGACCTGGCGCCCAGCGCAATGTCCACAGAAGAACACGGACCCCTCAGACGACTTCAAAGCAGCTAACATTTGTTTCTTTCATACCAAAAACCATTTCTTGTGTGAGCAGCAATCCATCTTAGGAGGAACCAAGACCAGGCCACCATATCCAGTTCTCACCTTGGCTTGACGTGGGCCCCCTGGGTGGCCGGAGGAGGCAAGGTCCTTGGGCCATCAGTGAGAGATTCCCCCACGATCAGGAGACAAAAGACTGGGGCAGACAGCACGAGACTGACACAGCAAGGGTCTCGCCAACGCCCCTCCACTGATCTGAAGCAGTCTCCCCCTGTGGGTGCCATCGTGACTGAGGCCACCCAGACAGCCAACACCTGCCTGCCACCCGAGTCCCAGGCAGGCGCCCTCTCCTCCCTCACGCTTCCTCTCCTGCCTGTGGAGTTGTCTGCCACGATCACCGCAGAAGACGTCTTCATTATGGGTAATATCCCACCAGCTTACTTTGTCTGGGACTCAGGCAGCACCACCCTTGGTTGGTCGGGTTCTTTCACTGAGTTGTGCTCTTACTCCTTTAGACAAGCATGTACAGCCCCAGCAGGACAGATGAGATCCCAGAACCCTGGCCACCGTGAGAACTCAGTAGAGTCCACGGACTACAGTGCCACAAAGCAGCGCGGAAGCCCTGCAGCCAGGTGTGACACTCCAGGGCCAGCAGCACGAAGGACCACAGGGGCACGGTAGTGGGGTCTAGGGGACAAGAGCAGTCCAGCGGCTATGGGGGCTGAGAGAGGCACAAACCGAGGTAGCGTGGCGGCAAGCCCTGAGGACTGCAGCGATGCTGAGAGGCCCGGGATGAGAGCTGCGACACTGCCTTCCACAGCTTCACACTACATGTTTGTGTCAAAGACGTGCAATCCTCGCGTTGCTGGGCAGCGCGAACAACTCTGCCTTACAAATGTTCTCCTAGGATGGAACGCCTTCCTGAGCGGGGGACTTGCTGTCTCAATGCTAAAGGTGTGCTCCTGCTAGAAGTGGTATTCAAATGCTGGGCTTGGCAATGAGTGATCATCTGAAATTCCCAATCTGCTACCTGCATAGCCAATGACAGGGAAAGATAAATGGGAGACTCTTGGGAGGCTTTGAATGCTTGTATAGGAACTGACCACCTTCCTATCTGGGCGAGGCGCTGCCTGCCTGTAATCTCAGCACTCAGGAGGCTGAGGCAGGAGGATCACCAGAAGTTCATGTCCAGCCTGAACTACATAGCGAGAGCCTGTCTCACAAAAGGAAGAAAGTACCCGCAGAAGAGGTGGTGGGATGCAAGAGGCCCGGATCATTTCCCTGTGACCCAGCAAGGCACCAGTGGCAGCAAGGAAGCAGTGGGGGCAGGGCACACCATGTGGCCTGACCACCCTTAGCAGGGACCCCAGCTGACCTACTGAAGCCCAGGTCTGGACACACACCAGCAGTTAGTAAGTCAGATGAAGCAGCACTGTGCGTGGCATACAGACAGGCGGAATGGAAGGGGGCAGGTGGGGTTCCACTCTTCTACCCCCTTTTAAATATGGAAGGGCTGGGAGAAGCCCACTAACAGAAGGGAAGTCCCAGCCCCTACATCCAGGGCTGAGATCTGCTCCATGCCCGGTACAAGTCCCACCGCAAAACTGGCTGGAGTCCACAGCACATTTCTGAGATCACACTTGGGCCTTCCACAGAACGTGAACACCAGAGGTGAACACCAGAGGACTTTTACTCCATTTATTTTTCTGTGCTTGTTTGACTGGTTTTCCTTTCTCTCCAGTTGAACTCTTTTTTCATTTAATTTGATCTTGTTTCATTTTTACGTTGTTTTTGTTTTCTGTTTCTCTCTCTCTCTCTCTCTCTCTCTCTCTCTCTCTCTCTCTCTCTTCCCCCCCTTAGGTTTATTCCTTTTTTCTTTTCATATACTTTCTTCTCTCTTTTGCCAAATATCTTGCTTGATTCTGTGATACTTGCATGTGAATGAACACCGTCTCTTCTCTGCCTGGGTCACGTCAGTACTCCTCTGCATCCCCTTCCCTTCTTCCCCACCTCAGGGCCCCACTTTCCCGAAACTTGGGTGATCATCCTGTGCACCTTCCCCCACAGCCTCGCTCTCACCTAGCTTAGCTCTCTATCTTGCCTCCATTCCTCTTAATCCACCCCCCCCATCACAAAGGATAAAATCACTTCACAAAAGGAGAAATCCTTTCATACAGGTTCCTGGTATGTGCTGGATGCTGTTATACAACTGTAGAATTTGCTCCTATGGTTAAAAGAATTAGGCTAAAAGTTACCAGTTTGTCAGAAACCAGGCTTCACTCAAGACTAGTGTTACTGTTGACTGCTGCTTTAGCAAGGACACCATACCTGCTATAATCACTTTTTCTGTCCTGTATGAAAACACCGTGATTGTATAAGACCATTATTGTCACCATAATCCAGTACCAAAGGATTAGAACTGGAGCAACAACTTCACATCCTCAGTACATTGGAAAAGTTGGTTCTTCAGATAAACACAAAGACCAGGAACCACCTACATCTAGAAGATTTCCCTGTGAAACATCCATTTCCTAGGGAAATCGTCATAGTAAGTATAAAGCAATTTTATTACCATAAAAAATCTATAAGCATCAACACAGAAAACAAAATAATACAAAAAGAAAAGAAAACATACAATGACAAGACCTAGAAGCAAAAAGCAACCTTAGACCCCCAGCTCACCCTGGACAACCCCAAAGCATAATAAAATAGAAGAAATCTGGTATCAAGCATGGGAACATTCTAAAATTATAGCAACAAAAGTGAAAAAATAAATGGGAGTAGCTATAGAAAAAATAATCTCTAAGGTGCAAAAAAAAGATAATGAACAAAATGAGTGATATTAAAGTAGACACAGATTTTTAAAAACTGGATGAGCTCAGGAAAATGGTAGAAACCATGAAACCCCAACATAGGAAAGAAATTGATTCCACAATACAGATACAAACAGAAGTGCAGGAGACTGAAAATGCCAATGAATACACATGGAACAGAGAGAATGAGGTGAGGACAGAGTATCAGCTCTAGAAGGCAGGACTGTGGCTGCTGATCATGAAAAGAAAGACGGCCGCCCAGCCTTCAAGGTCAGCGAGGACTCAGGACACAGGAGAACCTGCACTGTAACATCCTGCAACTCAGCTGTGCCCCAAATTTTCTGATGAAGGAGATTACGGGGCCACACAGGAAAGTGATCAGTGATGTAGAGTGCGCCTAAGGAGAGTCACATGGAGAGAAAACATTCTCTCAGGCTTTCACAGAGAGCACATTGGCCAAGCAATGGCCGTGACTCATCCACATGGC